ATGAGCAGAAGAGACTTCTTTAAAAAACATTACAAATCTTACTGATCCCAAACTTTTGAACAGCAGTGTAAATATATACACATTATATTTATATATATTTTTTTATTGTAATTATTATATATACTAAATTAGTTTGTGCAGTCCAATAAAAATATATTTAAAATAATAATATTTTAATTTTTTTTAAATGAATTGTAAAAAAAAAAATGTTAAAAGTAAAAAAAAAAAGTCTATTTAACTGGAACCGGGGTGGTTTATGGATATGTTAAAGAAAATGCAAATGTGCAGTAAAATAAGAATTGATAGTGATTTTCTTTATTATAATAATTATTATATATATTATAATAAATTAGTTTGTCCAATTAGTCCAATAAACAATAAAATAGAAGTTTAAAAAAAAGTTTAAGTAAAAAAATTAGTTCAATAGTGTTGTGGTGTTGTTTTTTGAAAAAAATACTTTTTGTATTTTGTATCCAATCAACTTTTTCTGTCTGTATGTTAGTCTGAAGTGTTAGTCCTCACTCTCTAGGGCTTGCTGATCTGCGCGTGCGGCGTTCGTATGAAGGACTGCGAGATCTGCTTCTGCTGTAACTGCGGCTGCGTGAGCGTCTGCGCCGGCCGTCGCGCTCAGAGTCATCGTACCGCGAGTCGCTGCGAGGAGAGCGCTTCTCTTTGGATTTCATCTGACCGGGAGCTGCACGTGACAACACAAATGCATGCAATTAAATAATAATTCATTCGTTCCTTTAAAAACAATTTATTAAAAATTAAAATAATATATTAATTGAAATATTTAAATGCATTTAAACGGGAGAATTCACTTTTTGCAGATCAAAAACGTTCTATGAATTTTGGGCATGTAGAGAGCAAGCATCATACTCTTCCGGTCTCCTTGAGCGAACTGGATCTCGATCTGCCGTCCACAGATCCACTTCCTGTCCAGGTTATGCAGCGCGTCCTCCGCGTCACGAACGTCCTCGAACATGCCGATGCGGTTAAGGCTTTGCATTTTTACCAGATGAACAGATGAACACACAGATGAACATGCATATGACAGAAACTGAACTCACCATCTTAATATTCAGCAAAAGCATGACGGATTATAAAGCAAAACAAGACAAATAATCATCTGAATTAACCGTGATGAACGGCAACAGGGGAAGGTGTTTGATGAAATTACTCTCAAAATTTCCCAAGTGTATTTAAGAGCGTTCCTTCAACTCCAGGCACTTTCGTGTGAAGAAAAAAAAACTAATTATTTTTATGGTGTTATTTTCAATCCAATGATGCAAAAAAACAAACAAAAAAAAGTGAAAATATTATTTGTGTGTATTAATTTATTTTATTCATAACTATTTGTTTTGTGTGTTTAACAGACATATAGAAAATAAAAGCTTAAAAAGCAAATTATTATTAATAATTTATAATATATTAATAAACACTAGAAACACAACAATTTATATAATAAAATTAATGCTAAAATAAATAAAGCTAAAAAAGAATTATATAAAGTATATATAATATACATAAAATATGTTTTAAACAAATTGTAAATATTTTTAATTATTAATATTTAAAAAAATAATACAATTACAGAAGCACAACTAAATTACTAAAAAACTAAAACTGAAAATATACAAATAAAAACTTAATAAATGATTAAATCATTTATAAAATATTAATAAACACTAGAAGCACTAAAATTAATTAAATACAATAAAAATTAACATTGAAGTAAAACTAAAACAGATTTTAAAAATAATAAAAATGACAAAAGCACAACACAATTACTAAAAATGGCAAAATATTAATAAACACGAAAATTACTAACTAGAAATATAAAAAAAACTAAAACTGAAAAACTAAATGAAACAAATATTTTAATTAAAAAATGAACTAGAGAGAAAGTGATGATTGAGTTCAGAAAGCTCCTGTAGTTAAAGAAAAACCCATAAACGTTGAAGTGGACAGGAGCTCAGAAATCACGTGCTCTGTAATGGTAGGATACAGCATTAAAACGGGTTACCTTTAACATGCTTGACCTTTGACCTTCAGCTTGACCTTTATTGTCTTTAACCGCCTCCGAGAAGGACTTGGGGATGTCTGTGCCCAATAACCTTTAGTCTTTTCCTCTTTCTTTGGTCAGAACGAGGCCTTGACTCCAATTTTGGTCCCCTTTGAATCTTCAAGCTTTAACTCTCTCTTTATTGTCTTTGTCTTGAATCTACTCTACATCGGCCCTTCTAAATACTCTTTGTAGGGAAGGTCTCCAGAACTGTATGTCTTTACATTTTCTGAGACAACAACAGAGGAAATATAAGGTTAGGAGACAAACATCGGACGTGTCCACGGTCAATCAAGCTTTAAAGAGACTTTACACCCAACAATCACAATCAATGGAAGTGAATGGGGACTGGAGCCGCACAGCTCTGAAAAATGACTAAAACACCATAAAAAAATTAGTTTGTGACTTTTATGCCATATTCCAAGTCTTCTGAAGGAAATGCATTGGAATATAGTGAACTAGTCGCATGGAGGAACTCGAATGGCGTTCAGCAGCTCCAGTCCCCATTCACTTCCATTGTCTGGAAAAGAGCAGCTTGGACATTCGGCTCAGTATCTCTTTTTGGGTTCCACAAAAGGATCTGTCAGAATTTTTGGATGAACAATCCCTCTAAAAGTTCACAATATGTTCTCTCTTTTCAACATTTTTGCCTACAAAGGATATTGTACGTATGCAAATCCTCTTGGTCGCCGTGAATTGAAGTCAACAGGAACGTAGACATCTACTATAGGTCCGTAACGACCAAACTCACGACGCAAATCCTCAGGCCTAAAGTACCATGAAATCACAGGACATTCATTTGGCTGTCTGAGAGCCTTCCCAGAGGGCTTGGAGGAAAATAACGTGACAAGCTGGCATTGAAGCGGCACTGAAGCGCTCATATTTGCTTCTGCCGAAGCCACAAGGCAGTGTGAAATTTTTTTTAAATCATGCTAAATTCATAAAGAACTAAATTACCCATAGACTCCATCAATCCAACTGATTTAGGCAACGTTTATAATTCTCATTTAGTTTGAAGTTGAAGCATTAAAATTACTAACTGGAAATAAATAGAAAATAAAAAAATAAAAATAAATGAATGAAACCTAAATATGAATATTTTAAAATAATAAAAATCCACACAAAATTACAACAACAAAAAAAACGGAAAGTGAAATAGTGAAGCCTTAATAAACTAATTATTTAAAAAATATATATATAAAATATTAAAAAACACTAGAAGCAATATAATTACTAACTGGAAACCAAAATTGAATTTAATTAAAACCAAAACTGAAATTAAAACAAATTAAAAAGCAAAAACATAAAATAAATGACACTTAAATATGAATATTTAAAAAAAATAATCATGACAAAAGCACAATAAACACACTAAACATAACTGAAAATATAAAAACAAAAGCTTAATGAACAAATTATAAAAATTTATTTAAATGATAAAAATGTATTCTAAAATATCAATAAACACCAGAAGCATTAAAATGATTAACTGGAAATAAATAAAAACTACATTTTAAATTTAAAAAATAAAGTCCATAAATAAATTAAATAAATAAATAACATCTTTAAAAAAAAATTCAATTTACATTTGCAAAATAAATTAAACCTAAATATAAGTTTGAGTAAGAATTAAACAGTAATATTTTTTATATAGGGGTCTGAATACTTTCCGTACCCACTGTACATACACACATACATACATAAATCCCATTTATATATATATATATATATATATATATATATATATATATAGTGTTAATAAACAAATTATAAATTAATTTGTAAATATATAAAATATAATAGTATATAAATAACACTGGAGAAAACTCTATGCACAAAAGGAACAGGGAAAAAAATCCAAATCAGTTTGCTTTCATCGAAACGTACTTTTTTGTATATTAGCTATGCTGTGTAAAGTGCTAGATATTATTATAGAGATATTTTGGGAAACATATACAGGCATAACGTTTGACCAGACAGTATAAAAACACAAACATAACCCATCAAACTTTCACATGCATTAAGATCTTCAATAGTTTCGCCAAGAATCGATTAGTTGAAGCACTCCATACTAATACTGGGTTAAATATTCTGACTTTGAAATCTGAGTCTGGAATGTCCCTCATTATGTATGCAGAGCTCCTCATTAATATGCATGAGTCTAATATCAGCCACAATAGGAAGAAATCCAATCCTGCTTCAAATGCTGCTGCAAATATTAGACTAAACACATTCAACATATGAGACAAACAGATCAATTATGTAGTTATTTTTTACCATTTAATCCAGCTGAACTCTACAGTGATTAGTAGTTAGCATGCAAAACAGAAAATCCCGCTCACTAGTGTTCTAGTTTATGAATTTAGCTTAAAATGAGAGTCGAACCATTATGCACATTAGTACACACGACACATTTATTATAATTAGTGCGATTTTACCGCCGCGCTAACTAGTCCTCACTAACCTGCTGTCATCGGAGATGTTTCTGATGAACAGAGACGTGTTTGGAGGTCGCATGTATCTCGCCATGATCAAAATAAAAGCAAGACTGCAGCCTTCAGCTCCTCAGACGCACACGGAGAGACGCGCCGCACGCACAGGCCGCAGTCCAGATCAGTGTGTGCACACGTACACAACGCGTGCGTCACGCACAGCCAAGCGCATGTGCGCCGTGACGTCACCGAGACAGACTGAGATTTGAGGCTGAAGATGAGATTAACTTTTGATTTTATGCTGTTCTCCTGTATGTTTGCAAAATTGTTTTTTATATATATATATATATATAGGCCTATATTTATTGCAGAATAAAAAAATTACATGTTTTATTTTATTAAAAATGATTAAAAATAAATGTGTGCGTATATACGCATACAAAACGACCTGTTTATTGTAATGTTGTTTAATATGGTATTTAAAATTTAAAAATATACATATTTATTGAAATAAGCCTATATACTTCTGAATACAGAAGTTCAATAATATCCAAAATCATTATTTGTTTTTAAAAAAAATATTTATCTGTTAAACATTTGACTGTTTTTCTTAACTATGTTTTAGGTTTATTCCATAGACTGTATAAAAACAGGTTTATTCCTATCTTTTGATTTTATTTATCCATTTATATTTTTCTGGCTTTGAGTGTCTTCAAAACAAATAAACATTTATTCATGGAGAGAGCAACATTTTTTATTTTCATTCATTCATTACTTATTTATTTTTTGGTATTTTATTTTATTTTTTAAACTTTCATTCTACTGGAAAGGTTGGACTGATTTCTCAGGACAAAAATATTTAACATGTCAGGTTGGGGCAGGTTATATGTGTTTTATGTGTTAATTTCACATAATTTATTAATTACAGTACATGCTGGCCAAACGGTTTGGTATTTCTATATGTTACGTTTACATTTTTGTTCATATTGCATCAAATTTGATGGAAATGTTTGTTTATTTATTTATTTTTTGTTTGTTAGTTTGTTTTAGTGAATGATGCGATGCACCAAAACACAACAAACACACACTATTATGATAAACCAGAGCTTTATTTAAATAGTAAGCCTTCACATCTTCTTGCTCCTCCTGATCATGGTGGTTCCTCCTACTGTCAGGGTCTGGAAAGAGAAAATGACAAACGTTCATATTTGACAGTTCTGTTGAGCAACACGTGCACGAGTTCATCAGAACAGACCTCCACCATCTCTCCTGCCTTGATCTCCTGGATGTGAGAGAATCGATCCGTCTGACAGACCAGCTTCCCTCCCTCCAGTCTGACAGTGCACTGAAACACCAGAGAATATAAGCATTGTCCGGCAGAAAACAAACTAAAACATATCATCTGCAGTATATAATATTGCATATTAATATATGTATACATGTAAAATTAATATAGTATAATATTACAAAATATTAGAAAAAATTCAAATATAAAAATGATAAAAATGATACAATTTATACACACAACACACACACACACACACATAACAGAGCCCAATCAGAAGTAAGTCACCGGGGAGCCAATCAGTGAAGGCTGGGTTTCTCAGAAGTCATGAACAAACTATTGTTCGTAGCTTTTTTTTTTTTTGAGTATTTATAGATATAAATTGATTGTTTATGGATCTGTAGGCCTATTCAGACTCTGTAGTACATATTTGAAACCGAAACAATATCATTAGTTGAAGTGTGAAGTTTTCATTATATATATATATATATATATACCCATTTAAGAATAATATCCAATCAGCTATAACCACTTTTTTCAGTTGTACTTTTTCAGTACTATAAATATACAGTATATTTAAAATCAACCTGAAATTAAAATATATCTTTTGACTTAATCTTATTATACTGTACACGATTCACCGGTGCATGTTGTTCCAAAGAAACAAATGTCTTTGTCATTTTTTAATTAAGAAAAGATCTTGATCTCTTGCGAAACTGAGCTTCTGTACTCTATATCAACTCTTCTTGAACAGTTCGACATCATGAAAAGATATAAAGCCATGTTTTACCTTGAGTTTCTTGCCATCCATGGTGGTGATTTCAGCTTCCCTGCCGATGGTGAAGGAGTTTGTGAGGGATTTCCCAGGAGTTTTGGATGTGATGGTGAAGTCGTTGCCGTTTTGTTGGATTTCTATCACTGGTTTAACATCCTTGGCCATTTTTATGACATCTTCTGGCAGAGCTGAAGGAACAAAAACACACAGATAGTGAGCGACCTACAATCATGACAAGAGAATTCAAATGAAATCATTTCAGATTTTCCATCTCATGCTTTCTTTCCCAAAAGCATTGCATAAGTAGATAGTGGAAATATGATGCTTTGGGGAAATGCAACCCTGATCGTTTCACAAAAACTCACAGACGGCTCTCAGGAACTCCTCGTAGTTCTCCTGCACGTAAACCTGCCACGTTCCACTGAAGGCCATGTCTGCTGCTGATCTGACCGCTGGCAAGAGCCTTGGACCGCTGTGAGAAGCTCAACACAATGTGAGGAGGACGTTCATCTCAGACCAGTACTTATACTCACTATGAGTTTAATCATTGACATTCTGCCAGACTTCCCTTCTGTTTGAACAACCCAGAGTTCACTAACATCATTCGTGAAGTCATGCTTCTCTCTAAATCCAGTCTTTTCTTTTAAAAAGACAATTCAATATGATGGAAAATTACACCAAGCCTTAACTTGCATCCATTCATCTATTAAATCTCAAATATATTTAGAAATCTGTGACGTTCACTGGAGTCAGAGACTTTATTTTTATTATTATTTTTTAAGGAAATTAATACTTTCATTCATCAGGGAAGCATTAAACTGACCAGAAGTGACAGTAAAGACATTTATAATGTTACAAATGCTTCAAATAAATGCTGTTCTTTTGAACTATCTATTCATCAAATAATCATGAAAAATAAAATGTATCAGTTTTCATAAAAATATTGTGCAGCACAACTGTTTTCAAGAATATAAGCATTGTCCGGCAGAAAACAAACTAAAACATATCATCTGCAGTATATAATATTGCATATTAATATATGTATACATGTAAAATTAATATAGTATAATATTACAAAATATTAGAAAAAATTCAAATATAAAAATGATAAAAATGATACAATTTATACACACAACACACACACACACACACATATAGTTTTAATATAGTTAATACATAAAGTACATCTAATATAATATATAACATACATTTATATATGCAACTATAAAAATAGAAAATAATTATAAAAACTATATATATATATATATATATAAATTATATAAAATATATAAATGTAATCATTCACCTTTTAAAATGTATCAGTTTTCATAAAAATATTGTGCAGCACAACTGTTTTCAACATTGATAATAATCAGAAATGTTTCTTGAGCAGCAAATCAACATATTAGGATGATTTCTGAAGATCATGTGACACTGAAGACTGGAGTCATGATGCTGAAAATACAGCTTTGATCACAGGAATAAATTACATTCTAACACATATTCACATAGAAAGCAGTTATTTTGAAGTGTAATAATATTTCACAATTGTACTGTTTTTACTGTATTTTTGGTCAAATAAATGCAGCCTTGATGAGCAAAAGAGACTTTAATCAAAAACACTAAGAGTTTTTCTGCACTGATTCAGTGGGTGATTCTGTGAGATGGATTTAAACATGTTCAATGTAGCTGAAAGCACAACACTCTTATTAATAATCAGATTAACCAAACTATTTGATGAATTCATAAATGAACACACAATGGATGGACAATAGGGTTCGTGAGCATGTATGAGATGCCAGACGCTCTAAAAAAAAGGAATGAACCACACTTAACTACTAAATGAAAAAAAAATATGATATATAAAAATAATTATATAAATCTATATATAATAATGCATCAAGATTTTCAGTCTAACAATTCTGAAATGATGCAGTGACACTCAAAACTAAAGTTAAAAGAGGAGATGCGGTGTGTGTTATCAAACTCAGAAAGAAAAACAAACATGACAACACCAGAGCAAATAATGCACAAGACACGATTTGCTCGATTTATTCATGTTGCATGCAGTTTAGCATCATACACTGAGGGAGTTATGTGGCACAGAAAACAAACAAGAAAAAATAAAATGGCACTTCATGTCAAAAAGGTTGCAAAATCCCGGTCTAGATCCTTCTCTCACTATTATCTGACTATGTTTTCTAAAAGAAACCCGTTGAAATACTAACACATAAGGGTGAATGACCATGTGGACTGTGGAGTTTGCTTTCAAAAGAATCACCCTCGGGTTGCATAATGATATTTGAAACGGGCCTCAATCTCTCTATTATGAAATATCAGCAGATAAAACACCCATCCATCCATATACAGGCATAACAATCGATTGTGACCCCATTATAATGCTGCTGGAAAGTGTGTTCACAGTCTATTTGATCAACGTTTGCTGCACACTTGTGTTCCCTGATGCTCAACTTAGTTAAAAATGAACAAAGAGAGTGAAAAAGGTTTAATTTGCACTTTATTCTGTAAGTGGCGCAAGATAAATCAGAGGAAACAAACCACAGATCAAATCAACTCAGGCTTTCAGGATACTGACCTTCAGGACATTGCCTTCTAAAGCACCATTAAAGGAATATTCACCCAAAAATGAAAATTTGCTGAAAATGTCCTCACCCTCAGTCCATCCAAGATGTAGATGAGTTTGTTTCTTCATCAGGTTTGGAGAAATGTAGCATTGCATCAGTGTCTCAGCAATGGCTCCTCTGCAGTGAATGGGTGCCGTCAGAATGAGAGTCCAAACAGCTGATAAAAACATCACAATAATCCACACCACTCCAGTCCATCAGTTAACATCTGGAGAAGAGAAAAGCTGAAACAAATCCAGCATTAAGACGTTTTAACTAAAATATGAGTCCATAATCCATAATAACGCTTCCTCCAGTGAAAAGGTAATCTCATCTGAATCAGGAGAGAAATCTGCACAGATCAAGCACAGTTTACAAGCCAAATCAGAACAAAACAGCTCTAAACAAATCTGTGGGTGGATTTTGATGTGAGAGACAACAGGTGATTTCACTGGAGGAAGCGTTATTATGGATTATGGACTCGTTTTTTTAGTCGGAAGCAACAGTTTGAAGTCTATTTTAGTTGGAAGGACCAGTTTAAAATTAAAATGCCTTAAAAATGTACTTGTTTCTTACAAACACACAGCTTTTGTCTTCTCCAGATGTTAATGATGGACTGGAGTGGTGTGGATTATTGTGATGTTTTTATCAGCTGTTTGGACTCTCATTCTGACGGCACCCATTCACTGCAGAGCATCCATTGATGCTACATTTCTCCAAATCTGATGAAGAAACAAACTCACATCTCGGATGGACTGAGAGGGAGCACATATTTATTTTGGACACCGTCATACAGGCTCTAAAATGAACACACACCATGTAAATAAGGCCATTGTTGACTTTAATAAAAACAGATTCACCCATCATTGATGTGGCAAAATATAACTTTACTCAATCACTGTGGCTTCTCTTACATTTGCACTGCATCTGCTCGAGGCTTTTCACCATGTTTATACACACTGACGGTCACGAGGACCGTCTGCGATCCGTGTTTATTGCGCACGAAGATGCTGTAGTTGCCTGAGTCCTCCATGGTCACGTGGTTTATAGTGAGAGTGGAGGATTTATTCTCATTTTTAATGTTATACTGGCCGGTGGAGGCGACTTCTCTGTCGTTCTTCAGCCAAAACATTTCTGGTGCAGGATCGCCCTCGGCAAAACACGTCAGACACAGAGACTAAAGAGAAAGAGCATAGTTCAGTGATACGAGCTGAATGAGAATCAGTGATGGATGGATGGATGGATGGATGCATGTACCTTGTCCTCCATTATGGCCACCACATCAGGAAGGCCCTTCGTGACTCGGGCTCGATCTGTCAGATGAATGGTTATTATGAAGTGTGTCATCTGCATTAAGCAATTGCTTCATTAAAACACAATTAGAGGAGTGACAAGTAACAAATACTTACTTTTCTCAGCAAACTCCACTTGCCTGTGAATGAGTAAAAAATACAATTATAGAGAGAATGAGTTTAGAACATTTTCAAATGAACACCACTAAAAGTTATTTAGTGTAATGTTCTAACCTTTCAATAAATATACAGAAAAAGACATGATGCTTAATTTATATATGCACATAAACACCCACAAAATTATATATATTTGATGTATAATAATGATATTATATTATAATATATTTTATATAGAATTATATAGATTATTTTGTACAATGTATAATTATACAAAATAATCTTTATTATTCTATATAAAATATGCTGCACTCACATATCTATTTTTTTTACATATTTTTTCAATTACATATATTTTTAAATATAATAATTATTATTTTATACATTTACATTACTATTTTTTGCACACATACACAAACAAACATATATTTTAAATATAATAATATATTTTTTTTATTATAAAATATGAATATTCCATATATTATATTACATATGAGGGATAATTTGATATATATCTATCATACTGTTCACAGACAGCAACGGTAACTAAAGAGGGCGGAGCTTAGCGAAGGGTCAAAGGTCAAGTTCAGTTGCTGTATATTCAAGCACATCTTGACTTACTTCAGTCTCTGGTGCTCCAGCAAAGCATCTGCGAACGCTGCAGAGAAGAAAGAGACGTGTTAGTGTTGAGGAGAATTGATTCTGCGGCTCCAGTCGCATGTTTTGTGCCGCTCTACCTTGTCCAGACAGATCCAGAGAGCGCTTGTGTGTTTCCTGGCCGTCGAACATCTCCAGGGTGTACTTCCCTTTATCGTTTTCAGTGGGGCCAAATATCTCAATCCAAACCTTCTGCATGCTGCTGCCAGGCTTGCTCCGCTCCTCCAAGTCAATTCTCTTGTCTCTGTAACAGCGAGAGAATGAAACGATCAGAGGGAAAACAGACCCCGAATGTGACATAAAAAACAAAACACACAAATAAAAGAATAACCGAACCAGTGTTGTTTTAGTACAGTATCATATTCTATATTATGTTGTTTTAGTACAATATCATATCAGATATTATAGCTTTTTATTAATATTTTGAATTTGTTTGTATTTTTTTCCATTTTAATTAATTTTAGATTTAAAAAAAATATGTCTGTATAATTTTTATTAATGTTTATTTCAGTTTTAATTTGATTATTTTAGTACATTAAGTTCAACTAAATTAAAATGAGAAATGTTGCCTTGGGAACTATTTTTAATGTAATTTTTATGAGGTTTTTTTTTTTTTTTCAATTTTATTTTAAGTAACAAAAACATTTTTTGTTTGTTTTAGTTTTAATTAATTATTATAACCCTGTTTTAAGCATTTAACCATTTGTCTACATAAAAGCATTTTTAAGATCATGAGAAACAAATTGAATCCAAAATGTTGATCAAGTGTTTATCAACTACCTTGTCCTCACAAAGTGTTTTTCTTCCGACCACATTCGAACAGTTACACAAAGGAAATACAAAATGTACAACTGGGACTGTAACGAATACATGTTCTCATATCACATCCCATCTTAGGTATGAAAGCAAGACAGAAAAGTCTCTGAACGCCTACAACCTTCAAAGGAAGAGGGCAGCGGAGGGAGGCGGCCAGTGCAGAGAGGGCAAGAAGCAGATGAGCGCCGCCGAGTCTTCATTGAACAAAGCTCAAGGCGTGAAGCGCAAGGCCCCCCTCGCCAACCAGCAGGCCCTGGACAAACTCTTCTCCTCTCAGCCCTCGAGTAAGAGGAGCCCTGCCAAGCTCTCCAAACCCCTCCCGTTCAGTATTGCAACCCTCAAGCAGAGTCTTAACCTCCTCTCCTACCAGAACAGCTCAAGTGCGCAGGGCCTCAGGCTTGTAAACCGCTTGGCTTCTCACTGTGCCTGGGTCGTTTTATGTGGCAGAAAGCTCATGTTGTTGAACCCGTTTCGAGTGGAGGAGGCCTTGCTGTTTAAAAGACTTCTGAAGAATAATATACTTCCAACCGTGAGGCTGCAGACCCCTGTACCACTGACAGATGGGTAGCCTATCTCTTTTTCTCACCTAATGATGACATTCTGGATGTGTATAATCTGTAATGTAATTTTAAAACATGTAACGTGTAAAAAAAAAAAAGGTCAAATGAATGATTTCAGTATGCATAAATGCATTAATTTGGAATTACAATATAGGAGTAATAGCTGTATTAATATACTCTATTCTAAATTCTCTTTAATATTTATATTTGCATATTAACATACACTTCTTTTCCCAGGGTGCTTGGTGGGCCAGAGTACATGGATGTTCTTGTGAACATGGAGAAAGACAGTCCCTGCTTTAATGGAGACGTCTGCTTTACTGATCCTAGGCTTGTGGCAAATGGTTTTGAGATTAAGATGATTCCAGGTAATGCTCAAAGACTTTGAAATTCATTTGAAATATTTCATTTTTTAAAAAGCATAGTTTACCCCAAAATGAAAATTCTGTCATCATTTACTACTACTTCTACTGAACACAAAAGAACATGTTTGAAAAAAATGTTGCTAAGTTTGTGAGTTTTAAGAGTGTTGATATACAGTCCATATTTTTTTATTATTAATATTATTACAATTTAAAATAACTTTTTTTTTCTTCATATTTTTAATTGTAGCATGTCATGGTTTTCACAAAAATATTAAGCAGCACAAATGTTTTCAACATAATAATAAGAAATGTTTCGTATGCATCAAATATTAGAATGGTTTCTGAAGAAGCATGTGACACTAAAGACGGCTGAAAAGTTATTTTAATATATTTCTCAATGTTAAATATTAATATTCACAATAATATTTCTCAATATTTATGTTTTTACTGTATTTTGGTCAAATAAACATAGCCTTTGTGAGCATAAGAGACTTTTTTTTGTTAGAAAAGAATGTCAATAAGGGAAAAGTTCAACATTTTTCACTAATGTTTACTTGCCCAAGGGAAATAAAGACACTCAGAGCAGTATGTCCTGAACTTCAGTGGGATGGTGCAATGGAAGTGTGTTGGGCTAAAATCTGGCCTTAGTCAATGTTTAACCTAGATCTCAGCCAACTTTAGGGGTATAATCCAATTTTGACTTTTCCTGAAGAATATAGAAGTTGTACACAATGCTTGGGTGTGCTGGGCGGTTGCCAGGGTGCTGCTGCTGTTACTAAGGTGTTCTGAGTGGTTGTTGAAACATTGCTATTAGGGCTGTGAATCTTTGGGTAGACAGCGATTCGATTCGATTCATGATTCATAGGTTTTCGATTCGATTCACGAACGATTTTTGCAAATTCAGAACGATTCAATTCGATTCACAATTAAATTAGATTGGATTCGATTAACGATTCGATTCTGCATTATTTAAGTGCATTCACAGGATTATTTAAATGCTTCCCCTAAATTCTTTAAATGTTTAGTCAAGATAATAAGATACTTCATGAGATTATATCTTGGATCCTACCTTGAAATCTGTAAGTTTAGTTTTTGTAGCTATAAGCTTTTATTTTAGTCAATAATCTACCACCATTTATATTATTATGTACATTACTCATATAATGGCAGTAATAATGAGTCATGTTCTCACCATCATCTATCAGCTCCAGGACGCTCTCGTCTTCTCCTCTGCTGTCGGACACTACAGCTCTGTACACACCCAGCTCCTTCCTCGTCACCTGAGCCATTATCACAAATACCACGGGTCAGTGTGATTCCACACACACTTACGTCCTAATAGCCCTTCAAGATTAGTGGAAGGATTTCTCCTCTATCAGGCAATTAGACGCCGTGTTAAAGGAATGATCCGGGTTCAGTACGGCTTAAGATTTATCCACGGCATTTGAGGCAGAATAGATAAAAGTATTTTAACTTGTCCCTGTTTTTATTTGAGCAAAAGCAGAAATATTAAAGTCAAAGCAATTCCAAGAAATACAGAGTAAAATCTGTTCATTCTGCAGCTTTAATTCTAAATCACCCTTATAACTTTATTTAGTTATTGCAGATATTTCTCATGTATCTGGTGTCGTTGCACATAATAAATGTTTACTAGCACTACACGGTCATTTACACGGTCAGTAAGCAAGTATATAACACTAGTCTCACTTCAGGGTTATTATTATTTAGAAAAGGGCAATACCAAACTTTTTAAATTCAATATGATACCCACATTTTTTTTTTTACCTACAATTTTGACAATACTGATAGGATAGCGATACCGATACAGATATCAGTACTGATTATTTCTTAAATGGTTATGTGATTTTTCAACCAAAATTAAGCAAACTGAAAACATTTTGAAAATGATGCAGAAACCCATGTTTTGTATTAATATAATTTTAATATTTATATATTTTTTAAAAGGATAGATACTAAATAGGTAGCTTGTGAACATATTTTTAACTATCGATAACTAAAATTAAATTAAAATAAATAAATAAACATTATTTAAAATAAACATTAACTGAAATAAAAAAAATATAAAATAAAAAAATATAAAATTAAATTTATTTTATTTCAGCTAGTTACCAAAGGCAACATTTCTCATTTTACACACACACACACTTATGTAGTAACAATAGTTTTTAAAGAAATATTCAAAAAATATATATTTATATATTTTTAAATATATATATTTTACATATTTAATAAATTTTTACCAAACAAGTAACTTGTGAGTATCGATGCTGCAGTATCAATGTGCAAATCGCAATTATCGTTAACAAAAAACTAAAACCATAAAAACATTTTCATTTCCATAAAATACATAAACATTATCTAAAATAGAATATAAAACATTAAACGTCTTTTATTTCAGCTAGTTGCCAAGGAAACGTTTCTAATTTTTGATTAGTTTAAAATAACTAAACTAAAAAACGATATATTCAAAAAACTATTAAAAAAATGACAAAAACTTTAACTAAAATTAAAATGAAAACAGAAAACATAAAAATAAAAACGGATTCAAAATATGAATAAAAACTATAATATAACTAAAATAATATTGTCTCAATATTAACATGTATAATGACTTCCATAGACTTCCATTATAAATGCAGGTTTTCCTGATGTTTTCTTGGATGTGCTAGATAATAAGATACTTCATGAGATTATATCTTGGATCCTACCTTGAAATCTGTAAGTTTAGTTTTTGTAGCTATAAGCTTTTATTTTAGTCAATAATCTACCACCATTTATATTATTATGTACATTACTCATATAATGGCAGTAATAATGAGTCATGTTCTCACCATCATCTATCAGCTCCAGGACGCTCTCGTCTTCTCCTCTGCTGTCGGACACTACAGCTCTGTACACACCCAGCTCCTTCCTCGTCACCTGAGCCATTATCACAAATACCACGGGTCAGTGTGATTCCACACACACTTACGTCCTAATAGCCCTTCAAGATTAGTGGAAGGATTTCTCCTCTATCAGGCAATTAGACGCCGTGTTAAAGGAATGATCCGGGTTCAGTACGGCTTAAGATTTATCCACGGCATTTGAGGCAGAATAGATAAAAGTATTTTAACTTGTCCCTGTTTTTATTTGAGCAAAAGCAGAAATATTAAAGTCAAAGCAATTCCAAGAAATACAGAGTAAAATCTGTTCATTCTGCAGCTTTAATTCTAAATCACCCTTATAACTTTATTTAGTTATTGCAGATATTTCTCATGTATCTGGTGTCGTTGCACATAATAAATGTTTACTAGCACTACACGGTCATTTACACGGTCAGTAAGCAAGTATATAACACTAGTCTCACTTCAGGGTTATTATTATTTAGAAAAGGGCAATACCAAACTTTTTAAATTCAATATGATACCCACATTTTTTTTTTTACCTACAATTTTGACAATACTGATAGGATAGCGATACCGATACAGATATCAGTACTGATTATTTCTTAAATGGTTATGTGATTTTTCAACCAAAATTAAGCAAACTGAAAACATTTTGAAAATGATGCAGAAACCCATGTTTTGTATTAATATAATTTTAATATTTATATATTTTTTAAAAGGATAGATACTAAATAGGTAGCTTGTGAACATATTTTTAACTATCGATAACTAAAATTAAATTAAAATAAATAAATAAACATTATTTAAAATAAACATTAACTGAAATAAAAAAAATATAAAATAAAAAAATATAAAATTAAATTTATTTTATTTCAGCTAGTTACCAAAGGCAACATTTCTCATTTTACACACACACACACTTATGTAGTAACAATAGTTTTTAAAGAAATATTCAAAAAATATATATTTATATATTTTTAAATATATATATTTTACATATTTAATAAATTTTTACCAAACAAGTAACTTGTGAGTATCGATGCTGCAGTATCAATGTGCAAATCGCAATTATCGTTAACAAAAAACTAAAACCATAAAAACATTTTCATTTCCATAAAATACATAAACATTATCTAAAATAGAATATAAAACATTAAACGTCTTTTATTTCAGCTAGTTGCCAAGGAAACGTTTCTAATTTTTGATTAGTTTAAAATAACTAAACTAAAAAACGATATATTCAAAAAACTATTAAAAAAATGACAAAAACTTTAACTAAAATTAAAATGAAAACAGAAAACATAAAAATAAAAACGGATTCAAAATATGAATAAAAACTATAATATAACTAAAATAATATTGTCTCAATATTAACATGTATAATGACTTCCATAGACTTCCATTATAAATGCAGGTTTTCCTGATGTTTTCTTGGATGTGCTGCCTCGCTGTCACATGGATCTGAGGCTCGTGTTTTGCATGTAACTGTGAATGTGAGGTCTGTACCTGCGGGACGGTGAAGGAGCTGACGCCCGGGGGCTCGTACACCGCCTGAGGAAGCTCCACTCCGTCCTTAAACCACTTCACACGCGTGTCTTTGCTCACGTTGGTGACCTGCAGCCGGAGACACACGGGTTGTCATTGTGTTTAAATGCCGATGCATTGTCATTAATGAATAAACACCATTACCTTGCACTTCATAATCATTTCACAATCTGAAGTCACTGTCCATGACAAAAACTCCTCGAAATGGGGACCTTGAAAAGCAAAAGAGAGAAACATTCAATTGAATATGGAGTAATTTTATATGCTGTTCTCCATCTAAAAGTACTGTAAATAACATTTGTATGTCTTATTAAAGCAATAAGCCCCAAGAAGCCGTGGTTTACAGTGAATTTATAACAGCTACGCGGCGTTGTTGAGCACGACGCGGAGCGGAGCCTTTAGCTGTCTCTCTCTCTCTCTCTCTCTCTCTCTCTCACACACACACACACTCACTTGAAGTACCAGCTGGTCTTCATGTAGCTCAGGTAGTATTTGAGTGAGCAGTAGAGCTTGAAGCCCTGCGCAGTGCACTGGATGCACACTGGACCAGCAGAGCGCGCTGTGGAGCAGATGCACACATTACTAAACATGACCGAGAGAGAGAGCGAGAGAGAGAGAGAGAGACAGAGAGAGAGCCTGAAGAGTCATGACACAAACCTACCGCACTGTTTACCGAGCTGCTGCACGAGACGCTCAAACTCTGAGGGAAAGAACAGCAACACATCATATTAGAATGATTTTCTGCATGAACTAAAAATCTTGATATTAAACGCCTTCATACAGAAGTATTATTCTACATTAGAAAAGTTCGTTCAAAGAAAAGTTAACTACAGAGATTTGACTACAGATATGGAGTGAACCTAAAACCCCGTAACTGTGGTAAAATCACTGTAATCACTGACAAAATAAAATCACAAATATTTAAGCACTCTTAAAATTCTAAAAATTTAAATTAGATCATAAGAGAAGCAAAATTATGAACTAAAACATCTTTAACTGCTGTAAAATCACTACAATCACTTACACTTAGACACTAATAAAGACATCAATGTTCAGTAAATTTACTAACAATCACAATGCAAAAAATGTTTTGTGTAATTACATTTTTTAAGTAATTTTAATAATATTTATTCAGCAACCCGCCAAAATTAAAGCTGGGTGATTTTAGTTTTGAAAATGATGAAAATCCATAAAAAAATGTAAATATTAGCAGTGTATTTTTAAGTGTACTATAAAATTACTATTATAGTAAATAACATTTGTATGTCTTATTAAAGCAATAAGCCCCAAGAAGCCGTGGTTTACAGTGAATTTATAACAGCTACGCGGCGTTGTTGAGCACGACGCGGAGCGGAGCCTTTAGCTGTTATAAATTCACTGTAAACCACGGCTTCACGAGGCTTATTGCTTTTATAAAACGGTTATTCCATATGCGTAGTAAGGTTTCACAAAATAAAACAGAGCAAATAAAGTGTAATGATATTAATAAAAACAGTATTCTTCCACCAAACAATGTAGCTCCTCAGAAACAGTTGTGGTTGCTACAAAGTGGTTGCCGAGCAACACACAGAAGTAAACAAAGGTGTGTGTTTGTAGAGTAATTTACAACAGCTTCGAACGCGGCTCAACCAATCAGAATCAAGGACCTCTCCGTTATATAAATTGATTTTAACCTCAACTCTGATAAGATTATACATGTTTAGTCAGACATTAGCTATTATCTGTTGCATGAGAGCTTCTCGTACAGTAATGTTCTTTATTGTGGCATAGATCTGTCTGTCGACTCACCCGACTTTCTCTTCCAGTTGTGTCTGTTGGCCTCAGATTTGGCCAGTGTGTCCCGAAATTCTGACAAACAGCGAAATAACAGAAGAATAAAGATTAAATCTGGAGAAATAGCCAACATGACCTTTTGGCTTGTCGCTAGATAAACTGACTTCGACTTTGAGTTTTGCTGCATCATTAAATGGGTGACTGAAAAATGAAAACCGACTTTATAACAAAATGTAAAATGAAACGTTATAAAATAAAATATTATAAATTAAAACTACCACTAATAATACAAATAAACTGCAAAAAAAAAAGACTGTATACTTCTATATCATACTGAAATAATGTTTTGATTGTATAATTCATAATTATTCAGTTCTAATATTATTTCTAATTTAATTTCTTATGCATCTATCTATATATAATTTAAATTTTCATGCATCATAAAGATGACGTATCATTAAATGAGTGATTGAAAAATGAAAACTGACTTTATAATAAAATGCAATGTAAAATTAAATAAAAAAAATTTGAATTTATTCCATTTTAAAATTTTTCATTAATTTTTTTGAACGCAAAATATCACCTGTTTGGTCATGATATCTAATAAAAGTACTTTCAGAACATGGTCTAAATTGTGAATTACTGCCAATTTTATTCTGAAGATTCTTATTAGAAACCTTTTCAGAAAAACTCAATTGTTCTCAATTTTAAAATGTTTGGCGTGGGGAATAACAATTATTTATCATAAACAAACTTGCAAATCATGTAAAAAATGAATATGTTCTTAGGAAAAAGTGCAAACTAGAACTTTCTTAACTGAGAAACATCTTTCAATTTTTATTATTTATTTTATATAATAAAAAAATAAAATAAATGTAATAAAATGTATTTTTATTATTTTATTTTTAATTTTATTAAGAGAAATCTGGGTCTCCCAAAATTAATAAATTCTAGCAAATTTAATGCTAGCCCCAAAAATAGTAAATAGTTAAAAATAGTCTCTTAAAAAGTTTCTTAAAAAATAAAAAGGTTAAAGTTATTATAATATATATCAAATCAATATATAAATATATATATATATATGCAACCAGTGAGGGTTTATAAAACAAGTCTCTTTCCGCTCACCAAGGCTGCATTTATTTGATTAAAAATAGAGTGAAAATAATACAAATGGTGAAATATTATTACAATTTCAAGTAGCTCTTTTCTGTGTGAATTCATGTTAAACTGTAATTTATTTCTGTGATGCGCAGCTGTATTTTCAGCATCATTACTCCAGTCTTCAGTGTC